CGCGCCCCGCGTCCCAGCCTCTGCCTCCGCACACCCCAGGCCGCCCGGCCACGCGCACTGCCCGGGAAGTGCCGCTGCCCTCACCCTGAGTAACTTCAGTGCTGGCTAATTGGAAGGCACCAGCCTCGGGCTGCTGATCTTTCTGGAAAGTTTTAACTGTGGAGGAGAAAGAAAACGTCTTAGCTTCAGAAGACAGGCGTGCCTGGAGGGGATGGCAGACAGGTCGACGGGCCTGGCTTTCTAAGAAGTGGAGAGGAGGCTGGAGGTGAGAAAGGTTCAAAGGTTGAGAGGAGACTCGTTTTACTTTGTTCACAGCGTCTCTCAAGCTCCCAGCTCCCGACCCCCGAATTTCCCGTCTGGACGTCTGAAAACCTGAGCTGACTTGATCAACCCCCAGTTCCCAGCGGGCCCCTTTTCTCCCTGAGGCTGTGTCTGGGGAGCCAGGGATAGAGAATATTTTCATCCGTCCCGGTCCGTCTTCACGTCACTCAGCGTCACGTGATTTTTAATAGGCAGGGGAGGGTGCGCTGTAAAAATCCCGAAGTAAGCACCTGAGACAGTGGGGGCTGCGCCAGCCGGAGAAGGGAGGGACTCAAACCCTCAGGCTCCTCGCACCTCTCATGAGGTCACCTAGTCTGTCCCTGTACCCCAGCAACTGTTCCTAAACCACGGCAAATGACTGGCGACTTTTCCGCTCAGGGGTTCTTGCGGGGAAGGAGTCTCCCTTTCCCTGATGGCATGTTGTAAGTCACTCAGGCACAGACGAGCTGACTGCAGGATGCGCCTCTGCAGCCGCCTGAGCTGTCTCAGGCTCCAGGCCGGTGACAGCCCCCCTCGCTGCCCCTCATAATTTAAGCATGATTCAGCCACGACCCACTAGATAAATCGGCATCCTTTTCCCATAGGTGCACACATCTTGCTGTTTCTTTTTCTCTGGAGAACTCTGACTAATGCGGGCCACCTCCCACCATGACTGTGGAACTCCTTTTTCTCTAATAAGAGCTCTCTTTGGGAGAGCACAGTAAGAAAAGAGAAGCCCTCATTAAGGCTGTCCACAGGAGCAGTGACGGGATGAACCCTAATTACTGCACCTGAATTATTCTTTTCTCCTTGCAAAGGAAGGAATCTCTAAGGTCCTTATTAAAACGTACAAAACTTCTAAAGAATGGTAAATTGCGAATGCTTGAGTCTTTTTTTTTTTTTTTCATTGACAGGAGCATAAATAGGTCATGAGGGTATCTGAACCCCAACCAGGTCAGTCCTGTCCGGCTTCACCCAACACAGTTCTTGGAAGGGAAGAAGTGGTGAGTAAGTAACTCATGCTTATAGAGTACTTTATACTATACTAAGTGCTTTCATATTTATTAGTGTCTTTGATCTTCAGCCCCACCCCCACTGAGGTAAGCATTAGCTCACATCTTTGGACAGGACAAGTCAGAAAGTGAGAGGGAAGGTGGGAAAAGCTTTTGAAAAACATAGGAAGGAGGACCCTGTTGTTGGTTCATTCATGCACTCATTGCACAGGTATTTATTGCTTACCGCAGTGTGTCAGATATGCTAGAAGCTGGGGAAACGGCATTGAATGAGGTAGTCATGGTCCAAATCCTTACAGAGCTTAGAGTTCAGCAGACATTTCTTCAACACCTGCCCTGGTAAGATACTGTTGGCCAAGTCCAAGTGTGTCAACCCAGCTTAATGGAAGGCTTTCCAAGTCTGAAAGGCGCCCTTCTGTGAGCTTCCTTATCATCTCTAGCTTAACCTCTACCACGGTAGTGATCACTATCCCTTCCGTGGTGATTGCCTGTTTTATCATCTCTCTCCCCCTTTTGGCTTCAGAACTCCCCAAGGGCAGGATCGTTCTCTGCCCAGCCCAGCACACTTTCTGGCCCACAGTTCTGAAGGTGTAGTTCTCCACTGATAACCTACTATGCGCCAAGCAAAGTGTCAGTAGCTGAGGCTGCAGGGGGGAAAAAAGCCAGGTCCTCTCCTCCAGAGATTTGGAGTCTAGTGGGAAGAAAGACAAATAAAGAAGCAAATATTTTGATGTGATCAGTTTTGAGGGGAATGGATAGGTGCTTAAGCAGCACAGAGGAGGAGATGCTTGGAAAGTTCAGGAATAATGAGCAGAAACTTCAGACAGAAGGGCATTTGGCACAGAGTAAGTAGCATGAGCTCTGGGGCATGAGGGAACAGGCTGCCAGGGGCTTGGCTTGGCTGCAGGGTAGGAGGCGTCTGGCTAATGGAGGAAGATGGGGCTGGACACCCTGTCAAAGGCTGCAGGCTGGCAAGCACGGGGTGGGGGAGGGATGGTGGGCAAGGGCACTCGGCACTCCTGGACAGGACTGAATCATTTTTGCCCTTTAACCTCATGGCAGAAAAAAATGTCCCTCAGACATAAAATCACAAAATGCTTGTGTAGAGAGCAAACTCAGAAGTTATTTAGTCCAGTTGTCATTGGATACAGAGGTGATTTACCCAAGGTCACAAACGCTATGGTAGAGATCAGACACAAGAAATCTGGTCTTTTTCACTGACATCCCACATCCTCAGGCAACGCCTGCACTTTGATCTTCTCAGGAAGAGCTTACAACCAACCCTTGTTTTTCTAAAATGCTAGCCTCTCTAGCTCCATTAGAATTTTTGCCTTGTTTATAGAAAACGCTCAGAAAATTTCTAGTGTGTCAGCAACTTACTCTTTAATAATTCAGGAAAAAAATTTTTTTGTCCTATACTTGCAACTTTTCTGGAATTTTGAGATCATTAAAAAAAAGCCAATAGAAATAATGGTTAATATATTAGTTTGCTAGAGCTGCAATAACAGAATACCACAGGCTTAAACAACAGAAATGTATTTTCTTACTGTTCTGGAGGCTGGAAATCTAAAATCAAGGTGCTGGCTGGGCTGGTCTCCTCTGAGTCCTCTCTCTTTGGCTTGCAGACAGCCACCCTCTTGCTGCCTCTTCACATGGTCTTTTATCTGTGCACACACACCCCTGCCATTCCTTTGTATGTCCAAATTTCCTCCTCTTTTAAGGACACCAGTCAGATTGTATTAGGGCCCATCCTAATAGCCTCATTTTAACTCAGTCATTTCCGTAAAATCCCCATGTCCAAATACAGTCACATTCTGAGGCACTGGGGGTTTAGAATTTCAACATATCAATTTGGGGGGAGATAGAATTCAGCCTGTAACAGTTAATTTCTTCACTTTCCTATCGAGAGAGAGAGAGAGAGAGTCAAGTACCCTCTATTTTCTGGGGATTGGTAATGAGGACTCTGTGGAAGGCTCATCCCATGTCTTCAGCATCCAGCAGATGGATGCTTAGTGACTGAAAATCACACGTTGTTGTTTTGCCCCCCTGTGTCTTCACTACTGGATAGTGAGTTCTGATGGGCTCCGCGATGTCTGTTTCCCAGTGCCCAGCACAGGGTCTTGCACAAAGCGCACATATTTTCAGTCGGTAAAGGGGTTCAATAGTCAAATAACAGAGAATCTGAAGTTTTTTAAAGAAAACCTGAATAGTAAAGAACTAGATAGTATTTAATCTTTTTTAATTAGTTAGAAATGCATACTCCGTACATGGGAAGTGCAAACCCATAAAGTCTCAGACCACGGTTTTTACATGTGCTTGAAATGTTATGAGTAATGGTCCCTGAAAACTCATAAAAATCCAGTAATAGCCCAGTATTTCATGTATGAAAAAGCTCCCTAAATCACAGAGGCCTGTTGCTTGATGCGGCAGTCAGTTTTCTTATCTAATTCTTGTTTTTGTTTCACATTCATGATTATAAATGCACGTGCAGTCACATGAACAATAGCATCAATGTCTGGTTTCTACAGGAGATTCTCAACAAGGTAGGAGACCTGTCTGTGCAGCATCTTGCAAAACTCATCACGTCACTATGTACAGGGCATTCAAATCCTGAAATACCTCAGAAATTAGTCTATCGGTGATGCTTGTTATTTTTACAGGTTTTGCTTAGTAATTACCCAGTCAGTGTTCCTCACACTCTGTTATTCTAGAGGCACTGGTTTCTCACATCTAAGGAGTAAAATGTAAAGTGCCTACACGAAGAATAAAACAATCAGAGTGGTAAAGAAAGAAAGGAAGGAAGGAAAAGAAAGAGAGGAGGGAGGGAAGGGAGGAAGAAAGAAAGAAATTCTAATTCCTTTACAGTGGGTCATGCATCTTAACTCAGCTACAGGGAAAGCCCAATTCATGCAAAAATCATTCTGTCTTTATTACTCTGGAATCCGGGGGTGTCTGTGGTGATTTGAGCCCTCTTTTTCCGAAAGGAGGAGATCAGCACATGTGTCTTAATACATTCCTCTTGTTCTTTCTTAAATGTTACATTAGTGACCACATTTGATTGCAGTGTAACCTGGCTCAGGCCTCCTGCTGGGCTCTTACAGACCATCGTTAACATGGTCCCCTTCAGGGGCTGTAATTTGGGACTCAATTTGCCATGAAATTGTCCTGAGTGTCACCTTAGTAATCGAAGATCATGTGACCCGTGAAACACATTGAACTGAAAGATGGCACCTCTTGGAAATTAGCGTCAAATTGTCCCCGATAGTAAAAAGGCCCCTAGCCTTTGTGAAGTGAATGTCACTGTACCTCAGAGATGGTGAGGGGTTAAGAGGAGGATGCTCCACCCACATGCCTTGAGCTGGGCCTAGGGGTCACAACAGAACCTTCTCCAGTAAGTATCCCAAGGCTCGCACGCAGACTGGTCAGCCCAGCAACCCCTCTGGTTGATTCTGATAGCACTTACCTTCTTTTTAACCAAAATTTCACGTGTGGTCTAGCAAAGGATTTTTTTTCTGAGTCTTGATATAGAGGCAGCTTCGATGTCAAATCTGACCAAAGAAAAGGCAGTTTGGCTAATTACTGGGGAAACAAATCATAAGCACAGTGAGATACCACTTCTCACCCATTTGGATGGCCAGTATTAGGAAGGAAAGAAAGGGAGGGAGGGAGAGAGGGAGAAAGTAACAGGTGTTAGCAAGGACATGAAGAAGTTGGAACCCTTGTGCATTGCAGACAGGGATGTAAAATGGTGCAGCTGCTGTGAAAAACAGTGTAGCAGTTCCTCAAACAATTAAACATAGGATTATCATATGCAGTTCCACTCCTAGGTATGTACACAAAAGAACTGGAAGGACATACTTGAAAAGACATTTGTATCCCAGTGTATGCAGCAACATTATTCACAATAGCCGAAACAACCCAAATGTCCACTGAATGGATAAACAGAATGTGATATATATGGAACACACACACACTGGCATATTTGTTAGCCTTAAAAAGGAATTACATTCTGATGTATGCTACAACACAGATGAACCTTAAGGCATTAGGCCAAGTGACATAAGCACAAAAGGACAAATAGGGTATGATTCTACTTAGACCTAGAATAATCAAATTCATAGAGACAGGAAGTAAAATGGTGGTCACGGGAGGCTGCAGGGAGAAAGGAATGAAGGGTTATTATTTAATGGGTATAGAATTTCAGTTTTGCAGATGAAAAGAGTACTGGAGATTGGTTGAACAGCAGTTGGAATATACTCAATGTCATGGAACTATACATTTAAAAATAATTAAAATGGTAAATTGTTACATATATTTTACTGTAATATCTTTTTAAAATGGTAATTTGGTTGTCAAAGTATTAGAATTTCAGGGTTACCTTAATTGTTTATGTGGACGGAAAAATAAATGTGTGACATCTGGGAGTGCCCTGAAAAGCCTAGGCATTAGGGTAGCTCCCTTGTAACTGTGTAGTAGGTAAGACAGCTCAAGACCAGAAGACCTTGGGGAGAAGCAGGCAGAACCACAGAGATGGTGAGAAGGGGGATGCCTGCCTCTGGCCCTGGAAGGGTGTGCAGTGGTGACTTGCTAACCTTTGCCTGATGGCTCTAGCTCCAGAGAAGGCTGGCCCTGGTGCCTTTGTGTGTCCCGGAGGCTCTTTTGAAAACTTCAGCCAAATCAGCTCCTTTGCAGCCTTATTCTATAGCAAGTACTGTTGTTGCTTTTTTTCATGTTGACTCTCTTGATTCTGAATTTAGCCAAGCAGAGTGGAACGGCCTGCCCTGGGGCCCTTGTATATGTTGCCTTCATTCTCACGTACGTCTTCCCCACCAACTCTTACCCTAGTACAAGACACAGGCAGCAACATTCTTCATAAGTCCTACAGCAGAGATCAGAGCCAATATTACCCTGACAATAATAGAACTTATAAGCAAGTCACAGCACACAGGCACTCTTAGATGATTCTACCGTAAAAAAAAAATTCGCATGGT